CGCATGCCCCACCGCGGGCCGCGGCCGCGGCCAAGGCACTTGGACCCCCACGCCTGGGTCCTTTAGCGCACTCTAAAAAATAATGGTTTTGTTGAGATGTAATTCATGTGCCATAAAGTTCACCCTCAACGTATACAATTCATTTGTCTAGTAGTTCGGAGTTGTGCCATCATCATTACCATCCAACTTTAGAATATTTTCATCACCCCAAAAAGAAACCCCATCCCCGACACTGGCCACCCGCCACTCCCTCCCGCCCCGGCCCCGGCAACCTCCCCCGGGCCGTCTGCCTCCACGGGCCTGCTTCTTCGGGGTGGGCGCTCGCTGTTCATTCAGCATTGATGCAATGCCAGACTGCTCCCCAAAGTGGCACCTCTTTCCATGTGCTTATGGCCACCTGCCTACCTTCTTTAGAAAAACATGTATTCAGATCTTACATCCACTTTTTAACTGGGTTTTATGCCCACTTAAAACGGTTAAGTTTTAAGAACGCTGTATGTTATTCTGGATACAAGCACCTTGTCAGAGATGACTTACAAATACGTCGTTACAAATGCTTTCTCCCATTCTTGGTTATCATTTTACTTTCTTGATGGTGTCCTCTGATGCACAAAAGTTTTAATTTAGATGAAGTCCAGTAATTTAGATAAAAAATTTACTTCACGTTTTCTTTTGTCGCTTGGGCTTTTTGTGGCCGAGGTCGCACAGATTCGCCTCTGCGTTCTTTTCCAGGAGGCTGAGAGTTTCAGGTCTCCGTTTGGGTTTAACCCATTTCGAGTTACTTTTTCCACGTGGTATATGGTAGGGTCCAACTCACTCTTTCGCACGGAGCTACCCAGTTGTCGAAAATACTATTCTTTCTCCATTGACCTATTTCGGCAGCCCCGCCAAAAACCAGTGTGTCATAAACGCACGGTCCATTTCCGGCCTCCCGGCTGCATCCCTGGCCTACATGTCCACCCTTCTGCCCGCACCACGCCGTCTTGATCAGAGCAGCTTGGTACGAGGTTTGGAAACGGAGGAGCAGGAGTCCTCCATCTTCCATCTACTTTTCTGGGTTGTACAGCTGCTCTGTGTCCCTGCGTCTTCCCAGGAACTTCAGGGCCCGCGTGCCCGCCTGCAGGGAGCCAGCTGGGATTTGGAGGGGGCCGCGCCGGGCTGCAACGAGGCCAAGTCTCGATTCTCCAACATCAAATGGCTTTCCATTTATTTAGACCCTAATTTTTTTTCAAAAGTGTTTTATGGTTTTCAACATGCCATCTTGCACTTTAGCTAACTCTCTTCCTATTTTTTCTTTTTTGATGCCATCATGAACAGAACTGTTACCCTAATTTCATTTTCCGGTGGTCATTGCTAGTGAATGAATACGAATGATTCTGTGTGTTTATCGTGTGCCCTACAACCTGACTCACTTATTAGGTCCAATATCTCTGTGTGTGGTGGCGGGGCTCCTCAGATTTTACTACACACCAGACCATGTCACCTGCCAGCAGAGACGGCTCCTGCCCTTCCCACCAGGACGGCATCCTGTTCCCGATCCCAGGGGACAGTGCCAGGCTCAGCATTAAAGCACGTTGGCCGTGCGAAGCACCAATGTTTCAGAACGAGAGATTTCCACGTGCCAAGCAAACACCTCCAGGGTAGAGAGAAGGAAGCGTGTGCTTGGGGCACTTACGGCAGGTTCCCCAGAGCTGGGACGAAGCAGTAACGGATAAAGCGGTCATCAAAACCCAGTGGCTGGGAGCACGTAAGTACTCTTACTTGAGTGTAAATTCATTATTTTATTAGAACTAGAGTTAGCAAAGGTAAGACAAAAAAAAAATATGAAAATCCAAAGCACCAGATACAAAAAAAAATTTAGTATTCTCAAAAGCCTTAAAATATACACAGTTTAACCAAGTAGCTTCACTTCTAGAAACATATCCTAAAGAAAAAATCAAGAATCCCAACAGTGAATTTGAAAAACTGGACATAACCTACATGTCTGCAAGTGTGAAATGCATGGTACAGACGTATGACGAAATACTGTATTTCCTTAATTCAAAGACACCACTGATTTAAAAGCACATCATTATTATTTTAGTCATAGTCTTGGGGGGGAAGACAGCACTACTTTAAACAGACAAGCGGCTTGTGAGTCACAGCTCAACTGCAGTAACATGAACAATGTGCATCTACAAATGCAGAAAACACAGCCCCACGCAGCCACCCTCCTGCAGCAGAGCAGCACCTGCCACAGACGCGCTCACCACAGATGACAACTGCTTGGAATTCCATTTGTGAACGATCCACTTTGAGAGACAAGAGGAGAATGATTTCCAAATGTGTTACTTCCATACTGAAGACGGAACTTTTAAAGGAATGGTCTCCCATGAGGCGAATGCCTCGTCACCACCGGGTGGGTTTCCTGCAGTGCAGACTGTTCGGGCCCTCCCTGAAACGTGTCTAGTCTCCAGGGAACAGCCCGGACTTAGATACATGTTACTCAAACAATCTAAATTTCAGCCCTTTAGACCTACTGTGAATTCATTACGCTACGATAAAACCACAAAAATGTGCTAGTTCCTAGCGCTTCCAACAACTCGAGGAGTGAAAATCAGCCCCGCCTCTGGTGCAGCCACAGTGGTGACAGAACACCAAGGAGGTGCAGGGCGCGGCTTCTGAAAATGAGAGGTGAACGGCACAGGGAGGAAGCAGAGCCCTGGCCGCAGACAGGACGCCCCGGCCACACTCCCGGCCTGCGGCTTCTCTGAGCACCTGACAGCTGTGCGGGACAGTCACCAGCACAGCCATTCCGAGACACCGCCCAACAGCCAGCCTCGAGACACGAAGCAGGTTGAGGGAGAGGTGAGGCCGGAGTCTACACGATGGGCCTCGGCCTTAGAGTCCGGGTCTCCAAGGCCTGCGCGTGTCCCAGCACCGTGCTGGTTCAGGGCGAGCCTCCCACACCCCCAGGCAACAGCGCTGCCACAGGAAAAACCAAAGCTGAGCAGGAGCGCCACAGCGCCACGCTGTTGCCCTGCAAGTAACAGCATTTGTGCCGATCTGTTAGTCGGACTGCACGACAGGAACGCCTCACGTGCCTGCGCACTGCCCACGACCACAGCTCATGTCAGAGTGGAATTCTTTCCTCCTATTTCTCCAGATAACGCAGGAGCCGTGTGGAGTGCGTGCCAGAGCAGTGTCCATTTTTGTAAAAAGAGAGTAAATTCTACCGATACATTATAGTATCAGTTTACCTTTGAAGAATTATTACGTGCTGGCCACTTCGCTGTGTACTTTAAATGAGTTACTTCTTCGCTGTCACGACGCCCTTAGGAGGTGTGTACCTTTAGCTCTAACGCACAGATAAAGAGCAAGACCCAAAGAGAACACGGAACTCTGGCGAGTCTCTGGATGGTGGGAGTCCAAGGGACGGATTTCGTTTCTCCTTTCCACGCCGCGCCCACGCCTCCGATGCAGAGATGCACCGGGAAGGGCGGAGAGAAGGGAGGGCTGCAAAGCCAGACTGACAGGCAGGGTCCCCAGAGATGGCTTCCCCCCACCCCGCACAGCCCATCCGGTTTTCAATCATGCACTGACCAAGTACCAGGAAGACATTTCATATGGCAGAGGCGGAGTTATAAATTCATATTTTCTTCACCTAAAAACCTTCTGCATGGACAGCCCTATGGCGCCTTGCCCATTACGACAGAAGCTGGACAGTCGCTTTGTTACTCTGATGACGCTAGCTCTGCCTCAAAGAGCTGCTCTGAAAGCTGAACAGTATGAAAGGCAGTCTCATTCCGACAGGACAGCATAATGAAATCACCTTATTTTCAGTTTACACTTCTAAGATATGGAAAAATAAAGCAGAAATTAGTTCAGAGCTGAAGCTAGTAAATAACATTGCCAGGAATACCTGAAACAGAAAGATTACTAATTAAGCTATCGCTGATTTCAGAAGCATCCCAAGTTCAGTTAGAGAGCAGAGGGAATAACTCTGAAGTAACTTTTTTTCTTTAAAATTAATGGACATCAGACATTAGATTTTATAACTGCCAGCTGTAAAATAATGGTTTTATGCCTCACTGGCAGGTTTTTGCCTAGGAGAAATACGAAAACGCTAACTGATTCTTTTTGCTTAAGCAACCTTACGAAACCTTAGAGAATGAGCAGAGAATGACGTCAAAACCTTAAGTGTGTGTGCGTGAAGGTCATGCGCCCGGCCGGGCCCTGGACACAGG